GAGTCTAAGTTGAATGATATTAGCAATACAAACCAGTAAGGATGGGAAAAGACAGATATCCAGAGAAGTTCCCCTAATTCAGTAGTTATTAACCTTCCTCATGCTATAATCCTTTAATACAGTTCCTCCCATTGTGACCTCCAACCATAAAACTATATTCCTTGCTTCTTCATCACTAATTTTGCTACTGTTATGAATCATAATGTAAATATCTGATATGTAATCCCTTTGTTAGATCCTCCAAAGGGGTTGCAACCTACAGGTTGGGAACTGTGAGCTTAATGTCAGCAGGAAGGGAAATGGGAAGAAATACAAGGAAGAAGGATGAAAATTTTCTGAGCTCATATAGAACTGGGAACAGCACATTTCCAGCTGTAAGGCGGGAGCAATGCTGTAATGAATGAGCACGTGATCAGAAGGAGTTCACCCCGGGTAGCGAGAATACAGCATCTCTGGGTTTGTCCTAGTAAGGCTAAATCCAAGGCTTCTAAAGGATCAAACTGAACTGAAGTCACTTAACCTCACAACATGGAATGAATACAGCCTGGTATCTGGAAATATAAAGTTCTCAGTGCCCCGTATCTCATAAAATATCAACAAGGATTCAAAGTTCCGGGGAACCATGTCCCTTAGCAAGAAGAAAATGTCATTCATAGAAAGAGCTACAGAAACTACAGGTGGTGGGATGACTGGAAAAAGACATGAAGCCACTATTAATGTGTGAGTTTTATACACATGGGCAAGTATCTTAAGGACATTCTGTCCGTGATGAAGAGAGAAAGGAAAAGTTTAAGAGTAAGAAAATAAACCCTATAGAAAAAACTCTAGGGGAAAATAACTAGATGTGAGCCAGACTAAAGCAGAATAAACATGGCAGTGTTTGGAATCATAGCGAGAAATTCCTCCAGATAAAACATAGGCATTTTTATAAGCCCAAAGAAAGTGAGCAGAGAAGCAGTAACCTGTGGGAAATTATCAAGAAGTTTGAAATACAAGTAATTGAGCTCCAAGGAGGAGGGAAGAAAGAATATTGATTCCTCTGAAATTACAGGGGATTTCTATCACAATAAATGCCTCTAGAAGTTAAAACTATCATTAATTCTGAAGTGTATTTGATCCAATCCTACTGAACATCATATCTGATCCCACAGTGTAGTGTGGTATCAGCTGTTTCCCTTGTGTTCACATTTCAGATTGGAGCTGTGTGTCACAGTGGCTGTCAGTCCTGAAATGGCATTGCCCTGCATATCACTAGCATTGAAAGACTCTAAATTCAAAACTTGGAGTCTAGTTTCTACCTAATGCTAACTGCTTTTACACTATTCAACCGTGAGCAGAGGTAGAAACAATAAATGGGAGTCTGACTACTCAGCTGGCTTGACACCATCAGACTTTATTAGATAAAACAGTATACAGCTCTCTAAGAAGGAAGGATGGAGAATTCCAAATGCATATGAAAACACAGGCATGCCTTTATTTGTGGGGTTACATCCCAATAATTTATCATAAATTAAAACATGTAAATCAAAAATGTGTGTATGTGCCTAGATAACTCAAAATGTAGCTTAGCAATACAGCATGCTGTAGTGTCAATTTTTTATTTCTTGTGAGCACATGGAAAGCTATGTCTTACTACTTCTGTTTAGCATCAAAAAGAAGGATTGGAGGATACGTTGCTAAGCCAGCAAAGGTCCTAATTCAAAGTCTGGATCACAGTTTCTGAATAATGCATGTGGACTTTGTGATGGGAAAGCCCCATCCTTAAATCAAATCATCATGGTGGTTGGCAGTCGTGGGCATAAGCCCATAATTTGGGAGACAGAACCTCTTGGTTCTTTCCATAAATTGAGTGTTAATACCATGAATGTGAGAACTTAGCCAAGCTGTAAGCCAAGAAGTGGATGGGACCACCACTTCTTTGTTTCAAAGTTTGATATCTGCTTCTTTTCTCATTCAGCATCACAGAAGGATTCTATCTGCAGTCCTATGTGCCTATACTTCCATGGCTGAGTCAGTTCCTGCTCTCAGAAACAATCTGTGTTCTTTTGCACTGTTTAATTGTTATCGGGAAGTTGTCTGCCTGCCTACCCATGGCCCACATGTTCCAGACTCTTTGAATTTCATTGTTGAGTTGAAATATTTGAAGTCTTCCCAGTAAGATGTGAGAAAGCCAAGTAAATTGGGATCTCTCCAGTGGTACCCTCCACACTTGCCTCCAGTGTGCTGGATGCTCTCTCAGGACTCTGGTGGCAAGAGAGAGCCATGCTATGGAAGTAGCCCATGTCCCTGGCTTGTCTTGGTGGAAAATCTTCACATCTTCTAAAAAAGCCATTATTGGACTGGCTAGTGGCTAGCAACTGCTCCTGCTGAGTTAAGCCATGCCATGTTACAGTTTGCTTATGGTTCCAACTCCATGGTACTTCATCCCATATAGCTGCTGAAGGAGAAAGATGTTGGAGCCTTACAGGTAGGCCACAGACTCATGGTGATGCAGAGATTAATAGAAACTTGTTAATTTAAGATGTAAGAGTTAGCTAGGAATACCTGTAAGCTACTGGCCTAATAGTGTTGTAATTAATATAGTTTCTGTGTGATTATTTGGGTCTTGGTGGCTGGGAAACAAACAAGTGGTCTCTGGTTACAAAATGGTGCCCAACATGGGGCATGGATCCACATAAGACCTAAAGAAAGCTTTAAAAGGAATGGGGGTTCCTAGACTCACAGACACAGAAGTTTGAGCTTCTTGGTAGCCTTATATTTTTAGATAGGCTCTGATTGCTGGCAGTTCCTTTTAAAAAATGGTGTCCTGACTCAGCATTAGCAGCAAAACATGCATGGCTCCTTTAAGAGATAGCTTCCTGGTTCATGCTGGTGGCATACATGGCTCTGGCTCTTTTGAGAGGTCCTGTTATGGAGCACTTGGATGGAGTTTGTGGGCAGCATGCTCAAATTACTTGGTGACAGCATGGGCCAACTGCTTCTCAGAGTTGAGGTGGTGAGCGTTGCTCCCACCCAGTGGTCCCAGAGCTAGTGATAAACATAACTCTGTCATATTGAAAGACCAAGAGAAGCAGAGCCAGCATCCAGGGCAGCTGAAACCACACTGCTTACCATTTTAAAATGCTCTTTGTCAGAAAAGGATTTCAGAAACACAAAAGGATAAATTCAGACTTAAAAGATCTCTAAACAAGACACAGTGTGTTGATAGAGGTTTCTGTCCTGCCTGGTCCTTCAGTCATTCAGTCCCAAAGAAACACACAAAGGTCTACATTAATTTTCAACTGGTTAGGATTCTTATTAACTAACTCTTACATCTTAAATTAAACCATAATTCTTGACTATGTTGGTCACGTGGCATGGTACCTTTAATTAGTGAGGTGTTCTCATCTTGCTTCCTCTGCATCTGGTGGATGACTGCAGATTGAGTCCTTTCACTTCCCAGAATTCTCCCAGTTTGGTCGCTCCACCTATATTTGCTGACTGGCTACTGGCCAATCAGCATTTTATGAAACCAGTACAAGTGACAAATATTTACAGGGTTGGTGTGGGAGATCCTTCTGTCTATGTGTTGCTTTTATTGGTTAATGAATAAAGAAACTGCCTTGGCCTGTTGATAGGGCAGAACTTAGGTAGGTTGGGAAACTGGACTGAGTTCTGGGAGAAGGAAGGTGGAGAAAGATGCCATGGGGCTGCCAGAGTCAGACATGCTGAAACTTTGACAGTAAGCTCACTGGAGACAGACACTGGGACCTTTAGCTGGTAAGCCACAGCCATGTGGTGATACAGAGAATAATAGAAATAGGTTAAATATGTAAGAGTTAGCCAATAAGAAGCTAGAGCTATCGGACCAAGAAGTGATTTAATTAATACAGTTTCTGTGTGATTAATTCAGGGCTAAGTGGCTGGGAACCAGCAAGTGGCCTCCCTCCTATACCAGTATACTTCAAGAGGTTGATGGGCATTGGAGAAACTCATGGAATTTACTTTCAATGTGATAAGGCCAGCCATTTGGGCAAGAAGCTGCTCTTGTTTGACGGTATGCTCTATAAACTGGGCATGCAGGACCCACAGAAAAATGACTGCTGAACTTCCTGAAAGACGATGACATAATCCTTCAGGGTTCCTGCTTCATCAAAGAGTCTGCCAGACATTCTGCAGGACACAGAAGAAAGTGACTGACAAACTGCCAGTATAGGCAAAACAGTCTTTCAAATTTCCCACTTCATGGAAAAGTCTAACAGATACTATGGGCCTTTAGTCTGAAGATAGATGCCCCAACTTTACAGAAAAACTTTGGCTGACTGTCCAGGCAATGAGATATTTCTGTCAATTCTAGTTTTTGAAGTTGCTTACATGGCACTTCCTGTTTACTTAGGTAGCATTATATCCTTCTGGGGTTTTTGATAGAATTGAAAACAGATAGTTATAGCTTTCTTTAGTTATGATAAAAATAAATGATATGAAATTTTAGACTCACAAAAATATTATAACTAATTCTTGCTTGATACCTGTTTTGTTATATGTAATTTTACTAGTTAAAGTTAAAAATATTCCATTTTATTTAGACAGAAAAGTGGAGATGATGTGGGATTCCCCTCTGTATGTTGTGAATATGGTTTTTTAACCATTGGTCAATAAAAACTTGCTTTGGCCTATGGCAGTCCAGAATATAGTTAGGTGGGAAATTCAAGTAGAGATAGAAGAGGAAAGAAGGCAAAGGCAGAGAGGCACATGTAGAAGGAGAAAGATGCTGGAATTTCCTGGTAGATCACAGCCTCATGGTGATACAAAGATAATAGAAATGGGTTAATTTAACATGTAAGAGTTAGCTAGAAATACACCTAAGTTTTGACCAAATAGTGTTGTAATCAATAGAGTTTCTGTGTGATTATTTGGGTCTGGGTGACCAGGAAATGAACAAGCATCTCTGATTACACTTGTTTTCTTAGTGTCCTTCATCTTCTCTGACTCCTACACTCTTTTTACCTCTTCTTCCACAGGATTCCCTGAGTTCTAAGGGGAGAGATTTGATGAAGACATTCCATTTAAGACTGAGCGTTTCAAGGTCTCTCACTCTCTGCATACTGTCTGATTGTGAGTTTCTGTGTTTGTTCCCATCTTTTGCAGGAAGAAGCTTCTTTGATTATGAACAAGGCATTGGTACAAGGGGTCACTTGTAATTGTGTTTTTTGTTATTATTTGTTTTTTTATAGTAATAGTATTTGATTTTACCCTAGGTCCATGGGCTGTCTAGTCTCTGGTTCTTGGTCACCCAAGCAGGATCATGTATAGGTTCCATTTCATGGAATGGCCCTTATGTAAAGTTACTTATTGATTGGTTATTCCACAAGCTTGGTGCCAAAATTGCCCTAGTATATCTTGCAGGTAGGACACTACTGTTGATCAAAGATTTGTCATTTACATCTCTCTTTTGGTAGCATGCGGGGTACCTTCTAATACCAAAGATAATAGGACATATAGCTGAAGGCTCTATGTAGGAAAAAGCTTAACTTCTTCGTGTTCAAAAAGTTGTGTGAGTGTTATCAGTTTGTTGAGAACAAACTATTGTTCTGGCAATAGCCTGGGTTGTCTGGAGATTCCTACGGCACTTCTTTGGCTAACAACTCACTTAGATGTAATCTAATCCAGGTACTGAAAGCTGTCTTTGGTGACTAGAGATAGCCAGGTGAGACTGTCTCCCTCATTATTTGGAAATTTCATTTAGATCACCTTTATAAAAGTATAAATTTTAAGAAGTGTCTACTGTATTAAGTTTCCATTCTACACCTCAAAAGGCCGACAATTCCGTATTTCCTTCCTCAGTCTCCTTCCACTTCCCCACTTGGTCCTTCCATTCAGCCCCTCCCCATCCATTCATCCATTCATAATTATAGAAAAGGTGATAGAAAACTTTGGCTTGTAAAGGTCAAAGGTGGACTGCCAAACAAAGGGCGGGAATGAGCATTGCCACTGCATTTCTGAATCATTTCACAGACCGATACCCGGTTTAAAGGAAATTTACCATGTAATTGACAGGAAGTGGGCTGGAAAGAAAGAGGGGCAGAGCTGCACAGTGAAGAGGGAAGAAGCCGGTGGCTTTTCCTCTCGTGCCGCCCAAGGGCCCAAGGTTAGCTCCGACTGCTCTCAGTGCAAACGGTCACATCCTATGCTTCATTGCCATTTCTTCATTCTTTCATCCATGTAATAAATGTTCATAGCCCCTTGGGTAGACGCAAAATTGGAGTTTCAGATATGAAATAAATGGGATTAAGGCGTTGCCCTGTGGAGCTGAGTATCCTATTCTCCCTATATAAACAGTTGTAACCTCAAAGAGAGCACATTAAAAGTGTGAAAGCCAGTTGTTTGCAACCAAAAATGCATTTACATTAAAAATAACACTATTGAACTGGCTGTAATATAAAGTCTGTTGAACCCATATTGCAACTAAAACTGAAGAAGAGGATTCTCTACTTAACGTTTTTGTTTTTTGTTTGTTTTATATCTAACTGTCTTTTTGAAGTTCACAAAAGATTAAAATATGGGTAGTCTGGTGCAGGAAAATTGTCTGTATTCTGTCAATCATGTTTTAAATAAACACTGATTGGCCATTAGCCAGGCAGGATGTATAGGTGGGACAACCAGACAGGAAGTAGAGGTGGAGCAAGGAGAATAGGAGAATTCTGGGAAGCAGGTAGCTTCCTCAGGAGTTCTGCCCAGACCACAGAAGAAGCAGGATGTGACCTGCCCCACTGAAAAACATACCAAGCAATGTGGCTAACATAGATAAGAATAATGGGCTAATATAAGTTATAAGAGTAAATAAGAAGCCCAAGCTAATGGGCCAATCAGTTTATAATTAATGCAGACTCTCTGTGTGATTTTCTTTGGGGCTACCGGCTGTGGGAACTGGGCAGGATGGAAACCCCAATAAGCTGGCCCTCATGTTACAGTAGTAAGTCCCAAGTAACCTGTCTTCTGGCTGCATTTATTTATTTTGGTTTTTAAACTCTTTTCATTTATTTATTTATTTTTAAAAGTTTCTTACTTTCTAATCCAGGCTGGCCTACTCACTCTGAATTCCAGACTATCTTCAAATTCATGACAATCCTCCTGCCTCATCCTTTTACATGAAATGGGATTTTAAGTATTAAGTCTCTATGCTCACCTCACTCAACGTTAAAGTAAAATAAAAACTGTATGAGATAAAAGTATGTCCGTTGTTTCTCTTATGTCGTCATATAAGGTGTTGTAAAGAGCTAGTCACATTCTTCATCCAGTCATACTAGACTTCATGAAGGTAAGGGGGGTGGACACACTAGTGGATAGCATAGCATGGAGCCTAGCCATTTAGAAATGGGTCTTTAGGTGCCTTTGAGGTCAGGTGTCTGAAGTCCTGTGTCCTCTCAGCTGGCCCAGTGAGATGGTTGTGAGCAACTATGTCCTTTAGGTTTCCTGCAGAAAGCAGATGGCACCCTTAAGAGGGGTCTGGAGGAGTTTTATAGAGGGTCTGTTTACTGTTGTGTTGTTGACGCGGTGAGAGGCAACATGGGATCAACTTGCAGGCTGTCAACAGTGGGAAGCTGTTGCCACCTCCGTGTCTAAAGGACATGAAAGGATGTGGTCATCACACACCTCCAAAAACACAATATAAACACATGCACACACGTGAGTGTGTAAGTGTGTCTGTGTCTATGTGTGTATATGTCAGACCCATTGGTTAGGATTTCTCCAACTTGTCCTATGTCCCTGACATTTGTTCTTCTGCCTGGTTAAGCCCCTGGTGATGTTTTCTATTGTATTTCATCTGGTTTGTTGAGTATCATTTCTACTGCTTTTCCCAACTCAAATTCCTTTGCTGCAACTTTGTTCTAACTTGCTAGCATTTTCATCCGTTTTGCTGACATTTCCACCCCACACTGCTGACTTTCTTCTCTAAGGTCTGGATTGAAATGATGATCATTCTCTGTGCCCTCTTTGAGGTCTTTGGTCATTTTTACTAGTTAAGCCTTTGAAATAGTCATCTGGGGCTTTACTTATTTTGAACTCAGTAGTGACAGAGATTGTTTGCAGGGCTTGCTTTCCTTGTCTTTCCAGAGCTCTTGGACTTCAGTGATGCAGCGTGCATGTCTGCTGCTTGAATGCCGCTTCTTGTTTTATTTGGAGATCTTTTATTTAGCAACTTATTCTTGAGGCTTCACTCCTAAGCACCACTTAGTGAGGAAAAAAACGAATGCCACAACAGCAGGCCCTTCAAAGCCCGAAGATGTAGAAGTCCACTCAGAACTGACTAAAGCCACCAATGGCCATAAACCAGACACTGGGAAGCTAGTGCAAAATGTGACATGAAATTAAAAATTACGTCATGCAAATGCGGAACTAACTAAAGGAAAGAGGCAGAGAAAAGGGAAATGGAGAGGATAAAAAGCTGAATAGAGTAAAAGAGTAGCGAGCCATGTTAGGGGAAGGGATAACAAGAGATTTAAAAAGACATTTTTAAAACAAAAAAAGAGATTTTTCCAGTAATCATAAAGTCTAAATACAAAATTAAATAAACATAAAAAGGGAAATTAAAAATAAACCACAAAATTGTATTTTGTGAACATCAAGTTAAAAAGCAAATTTATTTATAAACTCATTCCAGTAAGCCGAAATGCCATTAAACATATGGGAGAAATAAAGACAGACAGGAGGGGAGAACCCAGAGACACAAGCAAAAATAATAAAAAATAATAATTACTCAATAATGAATGGTGTAAACAAAATTAGAGGAATTTATGAAAGGGAAATAAAAATTAAAATATGATTTTTAAGCACAATATACTCTAAGATGCTGCCAAAAATTTCTAAGGGTGGGTGAGCATAAGAGGCAAAAATAAATGAAACTGTAGAGTCGGCTCTTTCTTAGCTAAAAAAGCATAAACCTTCAGTATACACATTGGAGAAGGGTGGCAGGTGATGGTTGAACCTGCCGGCTTTTGTAATCTTTCCTGTGGTACTGCTGTTAACCTTGTATTAGGCATGCGTGTGACATCCATCTGAGCTTGACTTCAGTCATTTTTCTTCTTTTCATTCCAGGGGCCTCTGCTGGCCAAGTTTTGCTATGTAGTTTATGAGCTGGGCATGTTCATGCTCTTGCATCTCCTTGGTGGTACCCACTGGGGTAGGTAGTCCCTAGCTGGGTTTGGATGTTTTCCAAGTGCCTTGGGTGTATGGGAAGCAGTCCTAGCACTGAGTTGCATGCAGGTGGAGAGCCTGTCTTCATACTTTGAAGATCGAAACACCTGTCACCTTGCTGACGGACACAGCCATAGGGGTCAATAATAATGATTNAACTAAATTTTATGTCCTGTCCATCATGGGCTCTAAGATATATTAGAATCACTCAACCAGTTTCAATCAAAGATTTATCTGAGTTGAGTCAATATGGATAGCAAATTTGTTGATTTTGAGCATATGGCCACTAGCAATATTTTAAAATTAATTTGTTGATCTCACTAAATGAATTTCTGGTTTAGAAATTAAAATGAGAGTGATAAAATTTTTTCTTCTCTTCTTTTAAGATTTGTTGACTTAAATAACACGGGTTTTGTTTTCTAGATACTTATTCATAAATTAGCAGATTATAAACTTTTAAACCGACAAATGTATTTGTTTCTCGCCCCAAGAACAGCCTACATATAGTAAGTAACATTTGATAAATGCTTCATAAACTTTTGTAGAATTGAATTGGATTGAATAGCTTTGGAAATGATATTAAAGAACTAAAATACGGAATAAAAAATACATTTGGAAAAGTAAATATGGAAAGTAAATTTGAGTAAACCTCTCAGAGTGGATCATAAAGAACATAAATATGTAAATAAAGAGAAAAATTACATTTAAAGAGCAAAAACATTCCAGTAATAAAGGGAAGACAAGAGAAAGAAATAGATTGCACTGCCAATCAAGTTGTACAAGAAAAAATGTTAAATATCAAAGAACATATATCTTCAGGCTAAAAAGACCTATCAAGAGGGGGAGAAACACATAGCAAATCAAATTACTTTGAAATCTCAGAACTTGATTAGAGAGTGAACTTCTAGAGAGCAGGCAAAGCCGAACAGTGGGGACGTTTGTACTATCACAGAGCTGAGCAAAACTGAAAGCTAGATACAACACGATGATACCT